ATGTTGGTTCGTCTCTTTGTCTACGCATTTGTATGCATCCGCGTACATACATATATAAGCCAAACGCAGATTTTGCATGAACTAGCTTTCAATAGATTAATCTAGACTCCAGAGTTTGTCTCGCAGCATTGTTTGAGGGAAAGGTAGTTCGTTAAAATATCTCACTGATTCGTCGGCTGGTATGGTTCAATGTTTCAAGATCGAATCGCGTTGGTAAATTTTGAGTTTTTTCACACTGAAGCTGTGCAACTACAATGGTTACCACATCTTCCCGTATGGAGAAGGCAAATAGCCCTGGAAGTGCATATGTAATACCACACGGGGCCGTTATAATGATTTTGTAAAACCGTGGTCTATGTAACAATTTCTGCCACCGATCTTGAATCTCGACAAAAATTATATAGTGACTAAGGTCGTAAAAAATTGTTGCAGCCCGAGAATGCCTTTTACCAAGTGCTGTAGTGTAATGAAACATGTAGATAGATTTAAAGCCATGCTGCGTTCCGTGCTTGGGTTGTTCCTCGGAGAAGAGAATTATAATAAGACGTGTAGCGTTTACTCAGGTTATCCGAAAAAAGAGCCGTCATCCTGGACCACCATCGCTAGCAACTTTGAAAGTTTTGGAAATGCACCCTCTACCACAGACGCCATCTACCATCAAGCAATGCACTGAGTGGTTGTTAAGATTAACACCAACAATTGCATTCAGAAGGAGTTGGTACAAATGCAGTTGTATGTCTCATGCGAATAGCCGCTTATTTTTTTCCGGTGCGAAAAAAACTGCACGTTGACAATGTGCAGGTTTTCCTCAATGCAGAGTGGTTGTCAAGCGTAACTCGACAAAAACTTGCTGTTTTTCATAAGGTTGGTGGCCTGGTGTTTCTGGCTACAGACCTTGCGGTACTACGCACCGCACTACGAGCTTGTGTGAGACCACAGAGCCGGAGAGGCCTGTACTCCTGTTGCTGCCGTGACGTGGCCCGGCTCCCTGGTCGCGGTCAGTGTCACAGAGCCAGGGGCCGGCCTGTTGCCGCAGTGACGGCTGGTCAGCGGCTGAGCCAGGAGAAAGCCTGGGCGGCAGCGAATTAGCTCTGGCATCCACGTGCTATACCGTACCTTGCTGTACGGCATGTATGGGTTGTATGGATTCAGATGTGGGGTGGGGCTGTTGTGTCACTTAACGTCTTGCTAGCCGGTTTAACGCAACGATCTAATGTTTCTCCTTACTTTGTGCGTATACCATAAGTTGCTTAACGTGGACTACGGCCTGGTTTTTAGTCAAAAAAGATCCCACCAACGGGGTGTGGCTGTAAGTGCATCAGACAAAAACAACTTCTGGCGCACCCATATCTCAGGCAGCCCCCATCAAAGTACTCGGTATCACAACCGTCGCGCTTTTCACTTCCATACTTCCCATACGGTTCATGTGTTACAGGCCTTTTCACGGAGCTGTGCACCGAATTCTACCAGGCCAATTTCGATGAGCATGTACTCAGAGGGAAGATCGTTTAGTTGTCTTTAAACAAAAAACGGCCGATGGACCTCTCTCTGCCTTAGAAGCCAAACACTCACGGGCACCGGGTCAGAGTTTTCGTGCAGGGTACGACGGGCTTTTTCCGACTTTCGCGGCATGTTGAGAAGTCTCAGCGGCGCAATCGAAATGCGTCGGATGCGTCACGGAAAGATTGTGTGATCGCAGCTGGGGCATTCTAAAACTGTTCTATCTGTTTCCCACGTAGTGTGCTGAAATGTTTGCTATCAGCCAAGATGTGCTGACAGTGAAATGTAGTGTAAAACCCCTCGGGAATTTCTTACAGAAATTCGGGGTACGACGTTAATTTTTAGATACATTCACTACTGTTGCACCTGTGTCATCCTACGTTCAGTAACCGGTTGCCAAATACTTGGCATTAGCTGGAAATGCATCGTACATTGCACATCTAGCGTATTATGCTGGAGTGTTTGCTTGCACCTTATGCTGGAACGTTTGTGAGTAAAAATTTGTACTTTGTACTTGTACTCTTTGTTCTACTCAGTATCTACTTCCATGCATCTCAGGCGCCTTTCCCATTTCAGAACACTGTGGACAAGCTCGTGCAGCGCGCGAACGCCTCGTTCCTGGTGGGCACCTCGTCGTGGAAGGAACAGTTCATCGATGCCGTCACCGTTTCGGCCGGTAAGAAGTGCTAGGCGTCGACTGTGCTCGGCCCTGGTGGGTTGCCTACACGGGCACAGCTGAACGATTGGGCCTCCTGGGCAGCTGGGGTAGTGCCAGACTGCACGGCACTGTGCATAACAGGCTGCTGTCATCGCCAGATTATCAGCTTAGCAGGTACATATTCATGTGTACTGGGCAGTACCCATCACATCTCGAATCACTTCATGTTTGGCGAATTTCGACATTTAGGTCGGTATCAGTGGTGTTGTCTTACGGTATTTGCGGCTAGATGGCCCAAATATCGATTCTGAATCGATGTTTTCTCTTCGCTATGACGCATCCTGATCGCCTCAAGGAAAAAAGGCGTAGGTCGCGGCTGATACAAATCAAGTTGTTTCGGTATAAAGGTCGATAAAAATAGTGCGTTTTGTAATACGTAAATGAACATCACATAATATGCTTTAAACGAGCTTGATCGTGGTC